ATAACAGGCTAAAGAAATGAATAAACAGGGGCAGCTAGGTGGTGCAGTGGCTAGAGTACTAGCCCTGGAGTCATATGAGATATCTGCTATCTAAACCACGCAGAATGAGGAGACATAATTTGAAGACCAACCCTCCTGGATCACTGCCTTGTCACGGTGGAGGGCTTGCATAGCCCTAATGAAACTATGAGATGCCGTGCAGGGTTACCCACAACTGACAAGTCATAGTGGAGAATTCAGACAAAAGGTGATCCATTGGAAAAGGAAATGGTAAACCACTCCTGTATCTTTGCCTAGAAAACTCCATGAACCATATTAAAATGATAAAAGGTATGACATCCAAAGATGAGCCCCTTAGGACAGAAGGTATTCAATATATTGCTGGGGAAGAGTCAAAAACAATTCATTTGCATATATAATTTCATTTGATCATAATGACCTCTGAATTAATGATAAAAATGTACTACTGTTCTCTTAATTTTGCAAATAAGGAAACTGAGGCTGGGTCTTTAAGTGACTTTTCTGGGGTCACATAGCTAGTAAACGTGTGAGAAAGGATTCAAACTTATGTCTTCCTGCTTCTTAGTTTCACACTTTATTCCCTACATTACCTACATGCCTAATCTGCATCTGAAACCATAACTTTATTAGCTCTTTCTCAAGAATGTACTTTTAAAACCTTTGCCTGGTTGATGATGATGATGATGATGATGATGATGATGACGACTATAATGGTAGCAGTGGTAATGATGGTGATATTCTGATGGTTGTTGTTAATCCTTCAATTTCATCTATAAATGCCTTCATAATTTTTAGAGATTAAAATATCTCTCCACACTTCCTTTAAAATCATTTTTTTCTGCACTGTTTCTTTTTTACTTACAAGCAATACTTCTCATCTTCCATAATTCTTTAAGTTATTACAAACAAATTTGAAGCTTATGTGAATGTGCAGTTCCTTACAAAAGTATGTCTCTGGTTAACAAGGAAGTCCAGTGATGACTGATTGAGACAATTTCTAGGCTCTTTCGTGCTAGTTGCCCTGGCATTTGACTGACAGTGTTTTTTAGGAAATGGTAATGATATTTGTTGGTGTCTATGTTTTTTATCTTTTCCACATTTTTCAGTAGCAGTGCCTTGTTTAAGTATGCCAAGGTGGCATTTTCAAAAGTGAATACAATTTAATCTTTTGTTTTATAATTAATTTTTATTTTTATAAATTTTAAGTATACAATCTCCCTCCTATTTCTTTTATTTGAAATTTAAAAAAACGAAGAAAAATATAAGAAAACTCTTACAGTAAGTATGTTAGTCAAGCAAAACATATTTCCTAAGTTTTATTGTCTCATTCTTCATCTGATTTCCACATCTCTCTATGTGAAGGTGGGTAGCTACCTTCATCATCATTTCTCTTTTATAGTTTCTGTTACCTTAATTGAACTTAGATATATAAAACATTATTTATCTTTACACTATTATTGTTATACAAATTGTTCTCCTGGTTTTGTTCTTTTTACTCTTTGTTGGTTCATGCAAGTCTTCTCAGGTTACCTCTGAAAAAATCTCATTTGTAATTTCTTAATGCAAAGTAGTGTTCCACTAATTCATAAGCCACAATTGTTCAGTTATTCCTCCATTCCTTAGTTTACAGTTGTTTTATACTTGCACACACACACACACACAAATATTCACAATGACCCGTTCTCTTCATTTTATCTCTATGGGGCTTACGCCTAGTAATAGCATAGCTCAAAGTATATACACAATTTAGTAACTTTGAGGGGCATAGCTCCAAATTGCTTTACAGAATTACTAGAAAAATTCAGAACTTTACCAACAGAATACAAATGTTCCTGTCTTCCCAAAACCCCTTCAACTTTTTTTTTAACATTACATATCAGATAAGTGTAAAAATAGGAATAACTAGCTATCTAGAATTTACAGTGTGTGTTACATGATCTTCGCAACAACCCTTTGAGCCATGTACTATTATTATCCTCTCTTATAGTTGAAATTTTGTTTTATTTTATATGTCTCTGCTCATTAGTAAGATAAAACAATTTTTAAATGGCTATTGATACCTTGGACATTTTCTTTTGAATACTGCTTTTCATATTGTTTAAACATTTAGCAATTGAGGAAAGGCTATTATTCTTATAAACTTGATTCAATTCCTTGGGTATCTTGGAAATGAGAAACTTGTGGTAAGGAATTTCCCCCCTAGCAATATATTTCCCTTCAAATAGCATCTGCATTACTTTTCATTATAGAAAACAAAAAAAAAATTTAATAGAAATTCTCTTCTCTCTGATTCTCTCATAATCTCTTTTTTGGTCAGTACCACTTCCTCTATTTATAGATCTGCAAGGTATATTTGCATATAAATACAGATATATTTTCATGTATATGCATATACGTGTGTGTACACACACATACACACACACACACACACACACACATACACACATACATTCCAGGCTCCACAGATGCTTCTACCTAGATTCATTGTCACAGACTTTTAAAAATGTATTATCTTAATATACTTATATGTGCTTAATATACTAACATATTAAATATACTAAATTAAGATGAAGATAATAATTATTATTATTATTATATTTATATAGCATCTTCTACATGACCAACACATTGCTAAGTGCTTTACTAAAATTTTTTTGCAGTAAACATGGAAGGTAAGTGCTATTATTATTCCTTGAGATTAAATGACTTGCCCAAGATTACACAGCTAGAGAATGGATGCGGGGAGTTTTGAATCTATGTCTTTCTGACTCCATGACTTGACTCCAATGCTCTGTATACTGTGCCACCCAGGTGACAGGAGATGTGTTCTTTTATTTGTTTTAAAAGATTTTTTTTAAAATAGCATTTACAGTTACTTCTGTATCTCTCCCTCTCCTAGATCACTAATCCTAATAGAAAAGCTTTGTTTTATTTTTTAGAACAAGGGGGGAAAGAGGGGAAAATCATCCAAAGTGATCAATACATCAAAAACCTCAATTAAAATTATATGCAATGTTCCACACTTATGGGCTTCTCCACTTCTGCAAGGAGCAAGGAGAGGTATTGTCTCATGCCTTTTACTCTTTTTAAATTTGAAACATTCATTTTTGCTTGCTTTTTTTGGTGATTGTGCTTTTTTTGTTGCATTATTCCACTCATTGTGAATGTTGCTTTTTTCCCCTACTCCACTTATTTAACTTTTTATCAGTTCATGTATATCTTTTCAAACTTCTTTGCATTCTGTATACTATGTGCTTCTTTCAGCACAATAATACCCTTTTGTAACCATATACCTAGATACCTCATGGCATGTTTTTTTTTAACTTAAATTACTAAATTATATTTTTGCCATATTTCCCTAAAAAGAATACCAAAATATATGTAAGATCATTTTTTTCTTAGTGCATGAGTCGATCTACATATAGGGATGCATGTAACATTCACCTAATACGTAATTACATTAATAGTTAAAAGATAAATGATTCCCCCCCACACTTCCTCTCTAGCTCTCGTGGTGGCACAGTGGATAGAATGCTGGCCTTGGAGCCAGGAAGACTCATCTTTGTGAGTTCGAATCTGACCTCAGACACTTATAACTGTGTGAGCCTGGGCAAGTCACTTAACCCTGTTTGCCTCCCTGTCCTCATCTGTAAAAATGAGCTGAAGAAAGAAATGGTGAACCACTCCAGTATCCTTTCCAAGAAAACTCTAACTGGGGTCATAAAGAGTCAGATAGGACTGAACAACAACATGTTCCAATGCTATCTAATATTCAAATTTTTTCTGTACAACAAAAATTCATTTTTAATAATCAATGGAAATTCTAAATTTTGCTTTCATGCATCTTTTTTTTTAATGGATGAATCACAAGTTAAGTTGCTGAAGTACCTTTAGGCTTTCCGCATTAGAAGCAATTAAATGTTTCCTATCAACATAGCTCCTAAATTTCCTTCCGTTCCTGAGGCCCTCTTTATATGAATGAAGACACCTAGTGGAATTCCAAATTCCTGACTTAGTTATGTACTGCACACATATTTCTTTTAAAAAGTGCCACAGTTTAACAGCACCTAAAGTCTCAGCAGTAAATGTGCCAGGTCATAAATTGAAAAGTTTGGGGCATAGACTTAGAGCTGATGCTAGAAATAGAGGAATCCAAAAGGGAGCGCAATAAAAATTTACAAACACAAAATTTTGACATTAAAAAATGCTATTCTGATTTCCATTATCTGCTATGCACAATTACTAGGCTAAGGGTAGATAGCAGATCTGAGTTTGGAAAGCCAACATAAATTAATATTATTTTGAATGACTTTGGTAGGGCTTTAGGTTGTGAGTTTCTCCTCTTTTTTGAATTCCTTCTCCACAAAGGTGCTAAATTAAAGCGTACATCTGGCTGCGTCATTGTCCTCAAGAAACTCATTTCTGCCTATTGCCTTGAGAGTAGGGATTCTTCACTAAAAACTCATTTATCCCAAATATTTTGATTAGTGTATTTCAATGGAATTTATTTCCTGTGTATTTTATTTTATAGATTTAAAAATAATATTCTAAGATGGAGTCATAGGCTTCCACAGACTGCCAAAGGGGTCCATGATGCAAAAAAGTTTAAGAATCTTTGCCCGGAATCAAAATACGAACTCTTTTACTTAGCATACGAGTCCCTTCACAACCTGGCTACATCCCTTGTTAGGGTTATCACGCACTTCTCGCCTTCACAGATTCTTCATTTTCCCCAAACTATCACACATGTTGCTCCTTACATGTAGCATTCCATCTTCTTTCTTTGTTCCTTTGTGGTTGCTGTCCTCCAGACTTGGATTGTATTCCTTCCTCACTTGCGCCTTCTACTTGAAACCGTTCCTGACCGGGCCGCCGCCGCCGCCGCCGCCGTCACCACCAGCCGCGCCGGAGCCTAGAGGAGACCGCGGGACTCGCCGCCCCACCCCTCCTCCTCCCCGCTGCCAGCTGTCAAACCCCTTCGGGATTTGTTCCAACAAACTATTAAAACATGGTGGATTACTACGAAGTTCTAGGTGTGCAGAGACACGCCTCGCCAGAAGATATTAAAAAGGCGTATTGTAAATTGGCACTTAAGTGGCACCCGGATAAAAATCCTGAAAAATAAAAAAGAAGCAGAAAGGAGAATCAAACAAGTAGCTGAGGCATATGAGGTGTTATCAGATGCCAAAAAACGGGACATCTATGACAAATATGGAAAAGAAGGATTAAATGGTGGAGGTGGAGGAGGTGGAAGTCATTTTGATAATCCATTTGAATATGGATTCACATTCCAGAACCCAGATGATATCTTCAGGCGATTTTTTGCTGGAAGGGACCCATTTTCATTTGACTTCTTTGATCCATTTGAGGACTTTTTTGGAAATCGAAGAGGATCTCGTGGAAACAGAAGCAGAGGTACAGGACCCTTTTTCTCTGTCTTTGGTGGATTTCCAGGTTTTGGAAGTGGACTTTCTTCATTTGATACAGGATTTACTTCATTTGGTTCAGTGAGGCATGGAGGCCTTACTTCGTTCTCTTCTACATCATTTGGTGTTAGTGGGATGGGTAACTTCAGATCCGTATCAACTACAAATAAAATAGTAATTGGCAGGACGATTACTACAAAGAGAATTGTTGAGAATGCTCAAGAAAGAGTAGAAGTTGAAGAAGATGGCCAGTTAAAGTCCTTAACAATAAATGGTAAGGAGCAGCTGCTACTCTTGGATAACAAGTAATTCAACGCACACATTTAACAGAAATATTAAGCTATTACAAGCGCCATTTGAGGATTAACAGGAACATTTTTTTTGAAGATTTCAAAAGAACTCTTTCAGTATAATTGTACCTAATCTAAAGTATTTATAAATGGCTCATCGAAGCACCTACTTGTCATAGACTTTGAGCTTATTGTTGAGACCACATTGATAGGACCATTTTTTTTGTCTTTAAAATTGTTGTAAATTTCTGTATGCACTTTGCTTTTTATTAAAATAAATCCAAGGTGAACAGTGATCCTTTAGTAGTGCTAGGGCAAAATGTATACTAACACCAGCATGAATCTTGCTTTTCCATTTTGTTTGAAATGTGAGCCAAATAGTAGTTTAAGTCTGCTGTGAAGTTAACATTTCCAGGATGAATCTTTTTTTTTTAATTTCAATTTTTTTAAGTACTTAGTAGTGAAAGGTATTAATACGTTAATAATTTCTGGTTTGGAATAAATTAAGGATATTTTCTAGTTGAATGATGCAAAACTTAGTAAGTTTTGACAATTGTTTAAACATGTAATGTTAAGCCTAGGCAAAAAAAAAAAAGTAAATCTGGTAAACTGGGTCTTTGTCATTTGCTAAATAAAAAAAGAAAAGAAAAAAAAGAAAATGAATAAATGCTAATGTTTGTGGTGCATTCTTTCAAAAAAAAAAGAAAAAAAAGAAACCGTTCCTGACCCCCTGACCCCAGTTTCTAGTGTCCTCCCTCCCAACATTATCATACACTCATTTTATTATATATTTTGTAAATGTATATTCATTTGACTCCTTTGGTAGAATACAGTCCATCTTCCACACAGATGTCAAAGATTTATTCATAAATGGAAGGTCTGACTTAAGCCCCTGTTCAAAGAAGCTTGGTAGCTCTCTATTGCCTCTAGAAGGAAAAAAAAAAATCCCTCTGTCTAGAAAGCAAACCCCTTCAAAATATGGTCCCAAATGATGTTTCTAGCTTTATGACACATTTATAACACATCTCCACACACAGTGCAATTTATGTATACTGACCTTATTGTTCAGTTGTTTCAGTCATGGTTGAACTCTTCATGACCCCATTTTGGAATTTTGCCAAAGATTCTAAAGTGGTTGCATTTCCTCTTCCAGCTCATTTTACAGATGATAAAGCTGAGGCAAATAGGGTTAATTGACTTGCCCAGGGTTACATAGCTATTAAGTGTCTGAGGCTGGATTTGAACTCAAGTATTCCTAACTCTAGGGCTGGTGCTCTATCCACTGTACCACCTAGCTGCCCAAACTGACCTTATCTTTATTCAAAAAAGAAGTTCTACCTCACCTCAGTATTCCGTTGAACTGATCATTCTTTATTTTCACACTGCTCTCCCTTATCACCAATACTTCCTAGAATCCCTGGTTTCCTCTAAGACTTACCTTAAGAACATCTTTCTGCAAAAAGACTTTTCTGACCCACTCATAGTTACTAGTGTCCTTAGACTCCAAATTACCGTGTATTTCTTATGTATATATTCTGTACATATTTATTTATGAATATTTTTCTTCAGCTCTTCTTGAATATAAATTCTTTGAAGGCAGGGACGATTTCATTTCTTTCTTTGTGTTGTCCAGCACAATGTAGCCATTTAAAAATATTTGTTAACTGGTCAAATAATTGTCTTTGCATCCCCAGTTTTAGCCCAGTGCTTGGTTCAAAATAGTTAATAATTGCTTACTGGATGTTTGAATAAAACTGAGAGTTTGACGTATCTGGGCCAATATGGAAGACTGTTTAACCCTACTTGGACACCCAACACTTTCCTAGTATTGCCAAAAAAGAGCAAAGCCAAAGGATCTCTTTCCAGCATAGTCAGATTCTGCTAGTGAAATGGAAAGCATATAAGAAATCTATCCCTCCATGATTGCAGGGTGTTTTATTGCTACGTGAGCCCCATAGCTGTTTTTATGAAAGCTCAGAGAGTAAGTTCTCAGAGAGCAGGTGGCTACTTACTCTCTCTTTCAGTAGCAGCCTAGTTTGCAAAGGAGGCCAGGTTGTCCCAGAGGAGTTACAGCAGGAAAACATGTAAAGTTCAATGATGAAGACCTGGGGAATAAATATAAAAGCGTCTATGAGCACGAGTGAGCACTCTAAGGAATGCCACCTCAGCGAAAAGTTGCTAACTAGGCCAGGCACAAAGCATCCTAACTAGCTTAAATCACTTTTTGGAGAAAAAAAAAGGAAAGAAAGAACTCTTACTTGTGAATCTTCTCTCAACCTTCCACCTGCCTGTACACAAAAACCCCCAAGAGAATTTTAAGTATCAATTTGGAAGATAGGCTCAAGTTCAGCAATTTTTGCATAGGAGTTATTCTTTTTCATTCTTCCAAAGGTAATGAACTCCTAAAGCTACAAATAAATAAAAGAGTTCTTAGCCACTGCATAAAGTGTGCTGACTAAATAAGGATACTTTTCTTTTTTCCCTTCCAATTTTGAGAATTCATTTTAATTTCAATGATATCTAGACACCAGAGAGAGAAGCAATATGGAGCTGTCAATAGAGAACTAGCCTTGAAGCCAGATAGACTTCAAGGCCAAATCCTGTTTCTGACATTTGCTGGTTCTATTAGTTGGGTGAGTCATTTAACTTTTTGGTGATTAAGAAAATTGACTCAGATTATAAAATGCAAAGAATAGGCCTACTCGGATAGCTGGAAGTAAGTTTGTCATTTATGTGTTTCCTAAGCACATAAATGACAGATTCTGTCTTCTTTTCAGATATTATAATGTACTGTGTTCACATGTGATGTGTTTTATTCCTTTGCTTTCTTTATGCAACTTCAATTAAAAAAAACTCTAAGGAATCAGTGCTTTATATGAAAGTTGTTAAAATAATTTATCCCACTTATTCCCACCCCACATGACATATGGGAGGAGGGTTACTGGTAGGATGAAGGGCATGGAATGGTTGACCCTTGACTTGTGCTTGAGGTATGCTGATGACCCAAGGATAATGATGTTGGCTAAAAACCTGGTTGCTAGTGCTTACCAGTTTGGAAAGCAAAGGAAAAAAAATGATTTATGTTCTTGTGATTTTTCAGTCTTTCCTAGATATTTTTTTTTTGGTTCTCCTAGAAATGTCAGGAATTGAGGTAAGAGGAGTGGGGGGAACAGAGAGGTTGGGAATTTTTCCTGCCATTGTCTATTTCTTACACGCAAAACTTTGTGTTTATATTTGCATAGTAATAGTATTGACATCCATGTTGATGCACCCTCAGATTTCCTAAAATCTCAATAATTCAGGCTCCTTAAATCCCATGACTTGCTGTTTCTCACCACCTCAGTTAAATGTACAGATGGAGAAACTGGAGGTTCTCTGTTTTCCCATTTAAAAACTCTGGCATTCCTCTAACTGACCTTAACCTCTTACCTTTCCATTTCTCCCTATTTTGTATTTCTACTATATCTATTGTTTGACGTTATCTAGACCTCTATTCCTCTATCTCTAAATATTTTCTTAAGTCACTACCCTGACTTTACTTCTTTCCTTCTCAAATTTTGACCAGCACTATTTTCTACTCTGGAAGCCTTTTTTCCCATTGTCTTAGGGCCACTCACTTTTTGTCAAGGGGTGTCAATCATCTCAGGATTACTCTGACTCCTTTCCCCTCAAACTAGAAGAACACCTAACACCTAACTGTTGCACGTATATTTTTCCAACTTCAAATAGGCCTTCAATGTAGCAAGACAATCATTTTATTCTTTTGTTAGTGATGTCCTAACAATGATAGAGCTTGCATGGAGGCCAAAACAAAGTATGGTAATACAGGCAATTTCACATAATTGCTATTTTATAATTTTAAGTATTCTTTGAAGAAGATACTACACTCATGCTCGAGAATAATTAGGAAAGAAAAAATGTAGTGCAGTACATCCAAAAACAAAATAGAAAAGTATTTGAAGAGGAAGGACCAAAGACTTAGATTCTGAAAGTCATCTACCCTTTTCCCATTAATATCAAGAATCATAATCTAAAAGCTTTCTTCCAACAACAGTGTTTCTTCCCTCATGGTGGCTATAGCCTTCTCAGTCCCAGACCCAAAGATGCAGCAGCCAAAAAACAGACCCATTGTGCAGCATGCAACACTCTTCCTTCCCCTAACTGCTTACCTGAAACCCACCCAACCACTGACCCATGACCTCCTATGCCTAATAGGTGAATTATAGTATTTTCATACATCCGTACAAACATTACAAACATTATTTTCTAATAATACAGATAATGATGAATTTATTATTTCTACTCTGAGGTCTGGGATATTACTAATATATTTTGAAGCTATATATTTATGTGTAGTTCAAGATAAAAACAAGGAATTCTATTTTAAATTGTGATTTATTTTTCTTTTAGGTAATAATTTTCTTTTAAAAATAAAAATGAAAATAGGCATATTTTTAACTAGTAACATCACTTCCTCGTCATGATATAAAGAATAGCCATGGAAGATTAATGAAAGATTTTCAGGCTTACACTAAATATGTTGTAAGGGATAATTAAAACTTTCTTAAATAAATACAAAGAAAATGGAAGCATGAGTACTGAGGCATAGCAAAAAAATGAAGCTTCACAGAACCAGTGTAACATAACTATTTTTAGAAGGTTGGGCAGATTGGAGACTTCATCTCTCTCTGCCAACTTTGCTGACATAACCTTATTTAATGAATGGATATAGATACAAAGAAATCATATTCTTGCAACATCAGCCCTCTGCTGACATACCTTATCATTGCAATTTGTCTCACCTTTCCTTGTTTGTACTACCTCAGTGAAGTTTTATCTAGTCAACTGCCATCAGCTGCTGGGCTCCGACACATTTTTCAAATCTAATGAGAAAGATGAATTTGGAAAAGAGAAAGTTAATGGCTTTTAGTGTTATTTGTTCCTTTCATTCAAACTGTTGATGCTATAGCATCAAATGTCTTGTGAGAGATAAAAGAGATCTTATGTTTGCTTTGGCTATTTTTAGAGTGGTTTCAAAGGATGACACAAAACCCTCAGAGGAATGCCATGATATAATTATTACTTGGAAATCTAGGGGAGGAAAGAAATAAACTTAGCACTGATACTAGTAAACTGCAGTAGTCAGGGAATGTGGGATGCTGTGATTGGTGCTAAATCAATTTGTTGCTAGGA